AAGTATTTATTTTATTTTTTAGTGGTTTCATTATTGTTTTAGTATTTCAGTATTTAGTATTTAATAATTTGTATTATTTTTTTAGTATTTTATATTATTTTTGTATTTAGTATTTTATATTATTTTTTATTTTAGTATTTTATAGTATTTTTTATTTTATATATTTTTTTATTTTAGTATTTTATAGTATTTAGTATTTATATTATTTTTGTTTTTAGTATTTTATATTATTTTTTATTTTAGTATTTTATAGTATTTTAGTATTTTTTATTTTATATATTTTTTTATTTTAGTATTTTATAGTATTTAGTATTTATATTATTTTTGTTTTTAGTATTTTATATTATTTTTTATTTTAGTATTTTATAGTATTTTAGTATTATAGTATATAGTATTTTAGTATTTTATAGTATTTCATAGTATTTTTTATTTTATATATTTTTTTATTTTAGTATTTCATAGTATTTAGTACTTCATATTATTTTTGTATTTAGTATTTAATATTTTATATTATTTTTGTGTTTACTATTTAGATTTTAGTTTTTAGCACTATTTTAATATTTCACTATTTTTATTATTAATTTACTGTTTCTATTGTTATTTTTGTTCTTTTTATTACTTTTTCCGTTGTTTCTATTTGTGGACGCAATGTCTTCGTTGCCAACGAGCAATCTTTCATTGTCTTCTTTTGCTCAATCTTCACAAGACGTTCCTGACAGTGAATGACACAAATGTATAGTAAATATACATAAAATTTTATTATTCATGTGACTATTATTTGTTCCTTGTACTCCTACATGTTCCTATATGTGTCTATATCTGTCATTGTGTCGGTACAATATCGGTGAAGACCTCGGTCTCGAGCGACCGTCACTCTCTACAGTATCGTCCGGACAACCCTAAATATGCATCAGTGGGATATCCGTGTGGGTCAAAATGATCCCGGCACAGGACGCTGAGGTTCAGTAATCGTTAAGTAAAACAAAATAGGCAAAACAAATGTCATACCGACATCGAGTTCGAAAGTAAAAGAGAGCGACGATTTTACCGTATACGGTTCGGTCACTCGTTATGGTCCGCGCAACCAGTTGCCAGCGCAGAGGGGCTAATTCCGCCCAAGTTCTTTTATTTGTTCTTCCGACGCACGTGCACGCCGGTATAATATTTCCCTTCGGCGAAGGAAAGGATGGAAAAGAAAGGAGGAGAAAGGCCGTGGGGTTGGGTGGGCGGAGAATTTAAATTACGCGGCGTCGTGCGCCGTCATAAATTCGTTTCTCGGCCGCAATTTTCCGGATTATGCCGGTGGCCTTCCGGCGGTTTCCGCTGCCGGGCAAACTTTTCGATTACAATGAGCCACCGCCATAAATTCCCGGCGTAGGAAGCAGCTGCGACTACCTACGCGCAACCTCCTCCCGGTAATTCCACCAACAAGCCCTGTTGCGTTACCTCTCTCCGCGATCGACAGAGTCTCCGTCGAAAAATTCATTGGCGACTGTTCTCTGACGCTTCTGCGACGCTTTCGAGCCTCAAGTTTCAAAGAAATTCGATGAAATTTGAATTCCAATTAACTTGGAACTCTGTCTTTTAAACGTCTTTTGCGCGTTGTCTTCTTCTCAGGTTTTCATATTTTATTTTACTTGATGTGTCTTTTATTTTGTTTAATTGTTATGCAATTTATACGTTTATATAACATGTTTATGTACTATATTGTATTAATATTTTTTAATATTATGTATTATAGTAGCTCTGCTGTTATAAATTATTATAATTTATGTGTTATATATTATTAATATTATGTCAGTATTTTTTAATATTATATATATTGTAATAGCTCTATTATAAAATATTGTAAATTATTAAAATTTATGTCTTTTATATTATTAATATTATGTCAATATTTTTTAATATTATATATTATAATAGCTCTATTATAAAATATTATAAATTATTATAATTTATGTATTATATATTATTAATATTATGCCAATATTTTTTAATATTATATATATTGCAGTAGTTCTATTATGAAATATTATAAATTATTATAATATATGTATTATATATTATTATATTATAAATTATTATAATTTATGTATTATATATTATTAATATTTTTTTAATGTTTTTTTATATGCTTCTTTGAATTTAACTAACTTCGTCAGGCTTGATTTTAGTATAGTATAGATTTTATAGTATTTTATAGTATATTTTTTTTCCTACACACCTGGAGCCAAATTTTTCCATCAAATTTTCTTTCTTCATTGGATATTTTAATTTTCCAAATTACTCTGATAATAATAATCGGAATTACATATTAAATATATTTTGTAACATAATAAAATATATTTAATACACATTAACATATAATACTATATATAATACATTTAATACCTAATCAATGCTTCTTTGAATCTAACTAACCTAACCTAGTCAAACTTTATTTCATAGTATGCTTCTTCTCCTGCACACTCGAAGGCAAATTTTTGCGTCAAATTTCTTCCTTGAATATTTAAATTTTCTAAATTACTCCAATAATAACAATCAAAATTACTCCAATGTAATATGATAAAATATTATATTTAATGCATTTGGAGTTAATCAATGCTTGTTTGAATCTAACCTAACCTAGTCAAACTTTATTTCATAGTATATTTCCTCTTCTACACATTTTTGTATCAAATTTCTTTCTTCAGTGGATATTTTAATTTTCCAAATTACTCTGATAATAATAATCGGAATTAGTCGGATATAACGTAATAAAATACTATATTTAATACATTTAATACCTAATCAATGCTTCTTTGAATCTAACTAACCTAACCTAGTCAAACTTTATTTCATAGTAACTTTATTTCTTCTCCTGTACACTCGAAGGCAAATTTTTGCGTCAAATTTCTTTCTTCATTGAATATTTTAATTTTCTAAATTACTCCAATAAAAACAATCGAAACTGCTCCAGTATAACAATCGAAGGATTGGATCTTCATGCAATCGTAATACATTTAACCTGGACTCTTCGTACGATTTTATACTTTTTCGTGCAAACACGATTAAAGTGGAAGTAGTATTAATTATCACGCGAAACATTTCACACGTTTTTAGAAAATTACGTTGCACGTTGCTTGAAATGTTTTTACATATATCGCTTGCATGTTCTCTCGCTTTCTATTTTTTTTTTTTTTTTAAATTCCTTACGAATGCGTAGAAATCCACGTGCCCCGAATTATAAACAGAAACGCTCGGGTAAACGAAATCATAGTGGCCGGCCGGTCGCGTTTTCCGAAACGACCGAACCGCAGAAGCCGAGGAAAATGAAACGAAAACAGGGAAACGAGGCCGCGCACGGAACACAATAATTGCGCGAAGCTTGAAGAGAACACACACACACACACACACACACATATATACGTAGGAAGTACGTTAGCTTTGTTACCGCTTCGCATTGTATCCCTTTTCGCTGCTGCCTCACTTCATACTCGTGCTTTTTGCTCCTTCTCGGTCGGAAGAGTATCTTTGTGCCAAACGTGATGGAGTCAACGTTGAACGCTTAAAATCCGCGGATTTCCGTTTCGCTGCGCGCAGCCGAAACTTGTGGATCCGCGGAATACTTGCGGTTTAGCGGAATTAGACGGATCACACAGGCGGCGTTTACTTTATAAATCGTAACCTTGATCCTTGGACGAAAAGAAATTCTACGAGCCACCACTGACTCTTGTCCTTGTATCTCGATTTTTATCGAGAATACCGGGACAGAAAATCATTTCCAACCAGTTTTACACTGCCTGAGTCAATTCTGTGATACTTCCTCGCAGTTGTACAAGTTGGAAGAAAGAAAAAAAAAAAAAAATTGGCAAAGGGATGAAATTGAAAAAGTGGTGAAAACCAGCGAGAGGAAAAATACATGTTGCGAAGTCAATTGTGTAATCGTGGATTTATTTGTTAGATGCAGAATTGTCAGTGTTCTGAATTCGATTTTTAATACGGGGAAGAAAATAATTTCCAAGTGTCTTGTTTCTTGAGTCGTTTCTATTTCCTCGTTTGTTATATTTGTTATATTAAATTGAAAGAAGAGAAGAAAAAAATTCTTCTTAAGAGGAATGAAAAATAACGATTATTGCGAGATTAACTGTATAATTGATAGAATTGATTTCATATGAGGAAAGTATAATTTCCAAGTCAGTTCTACGATACTTCCTCGTTTGTTGTACAAATTAAAAGAGAAAAGAGAAAATTCTTCAAAAAGTGGTTAAAAATAGCGATTATTGCGAGATCAACTGTATAACTGATACAATTGATTTGATTAAAAAAATAATTTTAATAATTGGAAAAAAATAATTTCCAACTGTGTTAATTCCTGAGTCAATTCTACGATACTCGTTTGTTACATAAATTTAAAAAAAAAAAAGAAAATTCTTCAAAGAGAGATGAAAAACAGCGATTATTACGAGATCAACTGTATAACTGATACAATTGATTTGATAAAAAAAATAATTTTAATAATTAGAAAAAAATAATTTCCAACTGTGTTAATTCCTGAGTCAATTCTACGATACTCGTTTGTTATATAAATTAAAAAAAAAAGAAAATTCTTCAAAGAGAGATGAAAAACAGCGATTATTGCGAGATCAACTGTATAACTGATGCAATTGATTTGATCAAAAAAAATAATAATTTTAATAATTGGAAGAAAATAATTTCCAACTGTCTTAACTCTTGAGTCAATTCTACGATACTCCCTCGTTTGTCATATAAATTAAAAAAAAAAAGAAAATTCTTCAAAGAGAGATAGAAAAACAGCGATTATTTCGAGATCAACTGCATCATTGATACGATTGATTTAATATGAGAAAAAAATAGTAATTTCCATGTGTCTTGCTTCCTGAATCGTTTCTACGATACTTTCTCGTTCTGTTATATAAATTAAAAAAAAAAAAAAAAAAGAAAATGCTCGAAAGAGGGGTGAAAAATGACGATGGAAATTTATGACGATGTCCACTCACCTCGGGGCATAGTTGCACACGTACATGAAGAAATCCTTGCCGAGTGGGCCCTTGCCACCAGTGCAATGACTCACGCCGCAGCCTACTAAATGCGTGGTAGCCCACGCGATTTGAGTGTAGTGGCCGATCTCGTGCAAATCGTTCCCTTCGTCGTCACCGAATTTATAGTCCTTGTACTCCATGTACCACATTCTGATGGGGAAAGTCCTGGGAAACGAAACGGTTCGTTCTCGTTGGAAATTATACACAACTTTTGAGTGTGTGTAATATATTAATATTAATATTATATATTAAAATTATAACAATAATAATAATTATTATTATTATATTAATATCATTCTCTATGGTGCAAATATAATCGTACATTATACACATATTGTATAATTATAGATAATTGTACATAAATAAATATACGTGTATTATATACATTTATTTATTAATATAATTAATACTATAATATACTATTTATTTATTAATACAATTATATGTGTAATATATAATATACTATATATTTATTAATATAATATAATACTATAAATTAACATAATAATATAATAAATATAACAATATTATATTAAATTAATATAATATAGTGCTATAAAATAATACTATAATATACTATTTATTTATTAATATAATTATATATGTAATGTATAATATACTATATAATATATTAAATATTGTATTATAAAATATATTATATTTATTATATTTATTATATTTATAATAGAAATTATATAATAATTACCATATTACACAATAATTGTACAATAGATGAATAATAAATGAATAATTGCACACATAAATATAAAATTGTACATTATACATTATACATTATTAGAATTGTTACCAGAATTATTTTACATTTTGTAATGAAAGTTCGATACCATCTCTCCTCTAAACCACCTGAAACAAAATCAGCTCCCACAGCGAAAAGAGCAGCAACGAAATATGAAGCACTGTCCAAACAAAACGAAACAAAACAAAACAAAAACAAAAAAAAATGCAACTGGAAAAGAGACAAAGGAAAAATTCCAAGAAGAATCCGATTTAACCGAATCTCTTTCTCTCCGAACATTTTCTCTCGACTGCGCGTCGCGAGGCAAAACAACGGTTTCTTCTTTGTGACGTTTTTGTCCGCGGGAATAGAAACTCGGATGGCTTTTCACCGATGGGAGGAAGAAGGGAATCGAGTCAATTAAAAACACGACGGACTCGCTCGAACGATCCCATTGGAGCTGTCTGTGCTGTGCGCGGAGGAGAGCGTGCGAGTGACATCGATTGTTGAACGTCAACAGGTGGCTCCCTAAGGAGGCGCGACGAGTGCGAGAAGCAAGTTATCGTTTAGGCAGAAATGGAACAATTCCGAACGGTGAGTCCGTCCGTGAAACCGACTTCGGAATCGCACTGGCAAGTCACGCCAGTCCGAGCAATCGAACGCTTTTCTACTGGCTGCCTCGCGCTGGATCACCGAATCGTGCATTAGCTGTCTCTGACACTTTCACCGAAACGCGACGAACTATGATAAATTGGATCATACCTGGGGCTTTGTCTCTACAAAAGACAGCTCGTCGCTTTGATTAAAATTGGAATTTTATTCATCTTTAATTTGATTTTATTTATTTTTATTTAGTTGATTAATTTTATTTATTTTCATTCTTATTAACTAATTTTATTTATTTTCATTCTTATTAATTAATTTTATTTATTTTCACTTTCATTAATTAATTTTATTTATTTTCACTTTCATTAATTAATTTTATTTATTTTCACTTTCGTTAATTAATTTTATTTATTTTCACTTTCGTTAATTAATTTTATTTATTTTCACTTTCATTAATTAATTTTATTTATTTTTATTTTCCATTAAGTTTCATGTCTGACCAATAGTATGCTTCTCCACTGACTGACTGCAATCTTCTTTGTATTTAATGAAACACTCGACGGTGTGTTAATTATTCGTAGGAAAAAGGAAATCTCATTTAAAACTTTTTAAACTACACCAAATATAATGATTTGACTCCTTAGACGGTAATTAATAAAGGTAACCAGTTAAAATAATTATTTTACGCACTACGTTACAATTAATAAAAATAATTTTTCATGCACCACTCAAAGCTATCGAATGCTTTCACTGCGCACGACTCGCGTCTGAACAATTACATGCTTCTCCACTGCACAATTGATCTCATTTTAGAATTCCACAGTCCACAGTTGTAAACTAAAAGTTGTAAAACATTGTGCTCAAACGGCGAGCAGAGCTCTATTGTTTCGGAAACTCTCGCGTCTGACGAAACGAAACGACACGCTTCTCCACTTCGCCGGCCTTTATTTCATTCCATAAAAGTACAGTTTCGCATAGAAATCCGTAATGAATGTGTGGAATGAAAATGCGCGGGCAGCGAATATACGAACGTGGCTCGTGACGAATTCCGGTCGAAACTCGGAATCAGTTCGGTGCGTTCTCGCTGCCCGACCTATCGCTACCCTTTCTACTGAAACTTCGCTGTTCTTTGTTACACTTAAACGAATTACCGAGTACACTCTAAACCGGTAATGGCACCTTCTGGAGGAACTCGTTTGTTTTCGAATTATCTCGAAATCAATGAATTGTACGTAGAAATTTTCAAAGGGCGACTACTCTCTCGTTCTGATTATCTCGAATGTTTCTTTTTCTAAAGAGAAGTTCAACAATCTAAGATATATTAAAATTATACTACAATTCAAATGATGATAATTTATTCTAAATTCTGATCCTGTCTAGGTTAGAAGTCCATGTTAATTTTGGCGAAATCTGAAATCCGTCGTATTGAGAAATTTGAGAAAGATCGTGGAAAATTGAGAGAAAAATTAAAAGATTGAAAATCGAATCCTCTTTGATAAACTGCAACGAATTACAAATTAACTCAATTTTCAATTTTCAAACTCAATTTCAATTCTCTGCGCTCGAAATTTGGCAGAAAGTTGCGGAGAGTGGGTTGAAAAAAATTGAGAGAAAGATTAAAAGATTGAAAATCGAATCCTCTCCGATAAACTGCAACGAATTACAAATTAACTCAATTTTAAATTTTCAATTTTCAATTTTCAAACTCAATTTCAATTCTCTGCGCTCGAAATTTGACAGAAAGTTGCGGAGAGTGGGTTGAAAAAAATTGAGAGAAAAATTAAAAGATTGAAAATCGAATCCTCTCCGATAAACTGCAACGAATTACAAATTAACTCAATTTTCAATTTTCAAACTCAGTTCCAATTCTCTGCGCTCGAAATTTGGCAGAAAGTTGCGGAGAGTGGGTTGAAAAAAAATTGAGAGAAAGATTAAAAGATTGAAAATCGAATCATCTTTGATAAACTGCAACGAATTACAAATTAACTCAATTTTCAATTTTCAAACTCAATTTCAATTCTCTGCGCTCGAAATTTGGCAGAAAGTTGCGGAGAGTGGGTTGAAAAAAATTGAGAGAAAGATT